CACCACTGGCTCTGCAAGGCTGTACACGGGCGATGAGTGCCAATAGGCTCCGACTGGTGGCTGAGTCTGTGGATCTGTAAAGTTCAATCTCGAACTCATGTCCTCTTCTGGCCTCTCTGCCAACGTGTGCGACGACGGAGGAAGGCCCGTGGCCCGGAACGTCGCCCCGCAGTGTATTTTTCCCTCTTGAGGCCACACGCACGCACGCGCGGTTTTGTTGCCCGACAATTCCCCCAATCACTTTTTGTGATCCCTTTTCCCAGGAATCGAAAGCCGTCCCCAATGGCCACGCGGAAGGTGAGTGCGCGGACGTTTACACCACGTGACCTCACACAGGATGTGTCGATCACGCGGGTTCGACTCCCCGTAATCGGAGGGGGTCTTCGTCTCCGTGCCACCAACTCGGCTCGCCAATGGGTTTGTAAGCGCAGCGTGCTAACCGCTGCGCCACCGCTCCCCCGCTAATATTTGGACTGCCCTTCGGCCTCCACTGGGTTGGCTCGGCATGAAAAGTTAGCACCTGGTATGGTATGTCAACATTATACTTGGAGAGACAAAGGCGGCCGGGCGCGGTTCTGACACACCACCCTTCTCATTGGTGGGCACTGCAGGGCGGTGGTGCAGCGGTTAGCACACCGCGTCAGCCCGTACGTTCTAACACCGTATTCTTGTGCAGGGAAAGTGAGTTTTCAGGTCCATACGGCGTACAGCCGTTACAATACAGGCAACAACAACAACATCTGTCGACGTGTTTGTGTCTCTCTTGCGATGGGACTTTGTAGGATGAACGTTGCAATTTATAAGGGGCACGGGGTGACCAATAAGGTCTGATAGGGCACTGATAAGGGGCTGACAGGTATGGGTTAGCAGCAATGCGCTAACATCAGTGACAAACATCTGAACCGTTCCTGGCCTTAAATGAGTAGCTCGTGTGACGTGCGTAAACATCAGCATTGGGAAGACAAAGGTGGGCGGGCATGGTGCCAGCCACACCCGCCCCCTCGTGTGCCGTGCCGGTGTTCGCGAACGGCACTTGCCCCCAAAACAGCCTGGGCAGGCTACACGGTTGACCCTCGTCGTTGCGTGCGTGCGTGTGTGCGTGCGCGTGTGTGTGTGCGTGCGTGTGCGTGCGTGTGTGCGTGCGCGTGCGTGCGTGCGTGTGCGTGCGTGTGCGTGTGCGTGCGTTGACCAGACGAGGCGTTGTCCACCAGGGAGCGAATCCAGATCTTCGCTCGCCTCGCCGTGGAGCTCTCCCCACCTCGCCCCGCCTCGTCCCTCTCCCGCTCAAAGGTGACCTCGCGTGGCCCACGGCTGCTCCACGGCCGCCGCGCGGCAGAGGAGGCACGCGGTTTCACTGCGCCGGGGTTTTTTGCGGTGGAAGATTCCGGGGGCGGAGAGGGGGCAGGGGGGGGGTGCTGGGGAGAGAAGAGAGGCGATGGAGGGGGGCGATGGAGGGAACTCACGTGGGAGGGAGGGATTGAGGGAGCTCCACGTGGATCGTCTCGTTCCCTTGTCTCCCCGTGCACCCCCCCCCCCTTCCGGGCGCAGTCGCTGAGCTCCTACGAGCTGAGCCGCTCGGTGGGGGATGGCGCCGGCGCCCGGCTGCACCGCACCTCCAGCACGGACACGCTGGACGGCCACAACTCCATGGGTAGCGGCCACAACAACATCACCACCACCAGCACCACCAGCACCACCCCCAGCACCATCAGCACCACCAACACCACCAGCACCACCCCCCGGCACCAACACAACCACCAGCAGCAGCACCATCAGCACCATCAGCACCATCACCACCATCAGCACCATCAGCACCACCATCACCACCATCACCACCATCAGCACCATCACCACCATCAGCACCATCACCACCATCACCACCATCACCACCATCACCACCAGCAGCACCATCAGCACCATCAGCACCATCAGCACCACCATCACCACCATCACCACCATCACCACCATCAGCACCATCACCACCATCACCACCATCACCACCAGCAGCACCATCAGCACCATCAGCACCACCATCACCACCATCACCACCATCACCACCAGCAGCACCATCAGCACCATCACCACCATCAGCACCACCATCACCACCATCAGTACCATCAGCACCAACACAACCACCAGCAGCACCAGCAGCACCATCAGCACCATCAGCACCAACACAACCACCAGCAGCACCACCATCACCACCATCAGCACCACCAGCACCACCAGCACAATCAGCACCACCAGCACCACCATCATCACCACCAGCACCACCAGCACCACCAGCACCACCATCAGCACCACCAGCACCACCCCCAGCACCATCAGCACCACCAGCACCACCAGCACAACCACCACCTGCAGCAGCACCAATGACAAAGATCCATAACAGACTGTAGGGGCAAGTGCTCTTAGCGAGTAGCAGCTATGAAGGCCGGGATGGCACACGAGGGGTTGCCAGCACCACGCCCGGCCGCCTTTGTCTCCCCGGTGGCGATGTTTACTACACACCGCACCGGGTACTCATTTGAGGCTGAGTCGACCTAGGGAAGGCCCATGACCGGTTCAGATAATCTTCACCGGTGTTGGCCGTGAGCGGGAATCGAACCCGGGTCGCCGGGCTCGTTAGCGCAGCGAAGCGCCGACCGCTACACGAACCGCTCCCCAGCTGCACCACCATCGCGCCTTCCTCCCTCGTGCGCACCACGTGGCACCGTTGACGGCGGTGTGCGTGGTGGTGGTGGTGGTGCCGGTGTCTGGTGCTGCGCGCAGGAGACGCGCCGCCGTCCGGCGTGGGGCTGCAGCCCTCGGAGATGGTGTCGGTGCGCCAGCGCATGGCCATGTACCAGTCGGCAGTCGTGCGCAGCACGGGCAACGCACAGGCGAGCACCACCGCGTCTCCAGCCCCGATGCCGACTCGAACCTCGACCCTAACCGTGGCTAAAATCGGCCGCGGCACGCACTCTTAGACGCTGGCACTTGACGCAATGCTTTCGCTTATCCCGACTCCAACCGTTGCCCCGGCTCCAACCCTGACCCCCGACTCGAGCACAAATACTGTACCACGAGTCACAACACCGGTAGCTAACCCTGACCCTGAAATCCAACCCTAACCCTGACCGTACCACTCGTCACAACACCGATAACTCACCGACACCCTGAATTCAACCCTAACCCTGACCGTACCACTCGTCACAACACCGATAACTCACCGACACCCTGAAATCCAACCCTAACCCTGACCGTACCACTCGTCACAACACCGATAACCCCACACCCTGAATCCAACCCTAACCCTGACCGTACCACTCGTCACAACACCGATAACTCACCGACACCCTGAATCCAACCCTAACCCTGACCGTACCACTCGTCACAACACCGATAACTCACCGACACCCTGAATCCAACCCTCTAACACTGTTCGCACAGCGAGTCACAACACGATCACGAACTCCGACCGTGACTCTAACCCTGACCTGGAATCCAACTGCAACGCTCACCCAGACCCCAAACCCTCACGCGGGCTCGAACCATGGCATTGGCCACACCAGCTGACCCTGAACCTCTCACGGGTCACGTCACGCAGCCCAAAGGGCAGCCCCAAGGGCAGCCCCAAGGGCAGCTGTTGCTGTGCGGCACAAGGTGACTCGCGCTCGCTGGCCCTGCAGTGTTCCAGGAAGAGGCAACAATTGTTGCTGTGTGTGAATCCCATTTGAGGAATGTAATTTGTGTAATGTATGTGTGCGTAATGTATGTGTGTGTAATGTGTGTGTGTGTAACGTGTGTGTGTAATGTATATATGTGTAATGTGTGTGTGTAACGTGTGTGTGTGTAATGTGAGTGTGTGTAATGTGTGTGTGTAATGTATATGTGTGTAATGTGTGTGTGTAATGTATGTGTATAATGTATGTGTGTGTAACGTGTGTGTGTGTAATGTATGTGTGCGTAATGTGTGTGTGTGTGTAATGTGTGTGATGTATGTGTGTGTAATGTGTGTGTGTAATGTATGTGTGTGTAACGTGTGTGTGTGTAATGTATATGTGTGTAATGTGTGTGTAATGTGTGTGTGTAATGTATATGTGTGTAATGTGTGTGTAATGTGTGTGTGTAATGCGTGTGTGTAATGTGTGTGTGTAATGTGTGTAATGTATGTATTATTGTGTGTGTATTGTGTGTGTAATGTGTGTGTGTAATATGTGTGTAATGTTATGTGTAATGTGTGTAATGTGTGTGTAATGTATGTAATATTGTGTGTAATGTGTGTGTAATGTGTGTACGTGTGTGTGTTTATGTGCAATGTGTGTTTGTAAAGTGTCGAAGTAATATGTGTGCATGTAATGTGTGTGCATGTAATGTGTGTTTAAGTAAGGCGAGTGTATGTAATGTGTGTATGTAATGTGTGTGCATGTAATGTGTGTGCATGTAATGTGTGTTTAAGTAAGGCGAGTGTATGTAATGTGTGTATGTAATGTGTGTGCATGTAATGTGTGTGCATGTAATGTGTGTGTATGTAATGTGTGTATGTAATGTGTGTGCATGTAATGTGTGTGTATGTAATGTGTGTATGCAAGGCGAGTGTATGCAAGGCGAGTGTATGCAATGTGTGTATAACACATAGGCTTTCGCGACCAATATCATCCATAAGAGGGTTATTTGGGGTTAGAGCGTGTAAATATGTCGTTAAAACCCGCCACCACCCGACACAGCCAACTAGTAAGGGTTGTCACGTAAACAGAACGTGGCCAATACAGCACACACATCAGGCTGTTGCCTGATGTGTGTGCTGTAAAAAATATTGTTATCACCTGATGAAGCTAGTTGTAATTACTGGCGAAACGTCGTACTCAGATTGTTGTGGCTTGGCTCTCCAACACACCGGTGTGCTGTACTAGTGACGAATTGGCCACGTTCTGTTTACGTGACAACCCTTAATGGTTGGGTGTGTCGGGTGGTGGCGGGTTTAACGACACATTTATATATTTACGCGATCTAACCCAAATAAACCCCTCTATTATGGAGGATGTGTGTATGTAATGTGAGTGTTTGTAATGTGAGTGTATGCAATGTGTACGGTGTGTACGTGCAGTTCAAAGTTCACGTTGGGAAGTCAGTGAAGCAACCATCTCCTCCAAACGCCTTCCCACCAGGTACGCCTTCATGGGGCGGGGTGGGGGGGGGAAAGGCCTTTATACAGCAGTGGATAGGTCATGGCTGCTACTGCTGATTGTAGTAATAATAACCAATGTACAGGGTGTTTTAAAACGAGGGACCCAATTTCAAAGCAGTATATTTCACGATGGCAACATGTTACAATTACACAAAAAGTTACAAACGGTTTAATGAGTTATCAAGTTTTACGAAGAAGTTATATATTTTGATTTAAAGCTTTCGTGACTGCAGGGATTCATATTCTTGGTTCTTTCGGTAAAGTCACGTAGAAGGGGAACAATAAAATAATAATAAAACATTTAAAATGATTTTATTGTTTCCCTTCTACGTGACTTTACCGAAAGAACCAAGAATAATTTTATAAATGCTCGATGTGCCCTCCACCTGCTGTACGGACAACATCGAGACGATAGTTGAATTCGTCCCAAACGCCTCTCTTCCCACGTTTCCCTCTAAGGTGCGTGGTCGCCCTGTGCTCTTCCCCTTACATTAACAGCAGCCCGTGTCCTCAAATCGTCGGTACCAACGACGAATGCTCTTTGACATTGGCGGATCAATGCCAAAACGCCGTTGAAACGCACGCTGCACCACAATTACGGATTAAGTCTTGGTGAACTGCAGAACGCAAAACGCCCCTTGTGTTGCGGGGTCACCGTGTTGCGAATGACTGAGGCTAGGGGCTGTTCGTGCGCTGGGAGAGACATCTCGTGGTAATCATTTGAATATCTATGCCCCGCCCTTTCAAGTGGTAAGAGTTTCATTAATGGGAGGGTTCGTGGTTGGGGAGATATAGCGATTTCAAATCGAGTCCATCTTTTTCAAACACCCTGTATTTACAACTTAAAATTTGTAATGCACGCACTTTTAGCTCACTCTCAGAGAGAGAGAGATAATTATTCAGAGAGAGAGAGAATGATTCAGAGGCGCGGGTAAAACCACAGACAGGTGGCAAAGAAGGCAGTTGGGACTGACCTGAGTAATTTCCAAAGCTCTGCGGTCCTACATTGGGATGTTTGGTCAACTCCATGAATCACGAGCGTTTATTATACACGCGTGTAGTGGGAGCACACACTCGTGTCTCCAGAAATTCCCCCTGCTCTGCGGTCCTTCATTGGAATGTCTGCCGCTGTTGCAGGGAAGGTGTCAGCTGACCTGCAGCAGGTGTCGACGAAGTCTCTGAAGCAGCGCTTCGAGGATCACGCGCAGAAGCCTCCGGCTCACGACAAAGCACCGGCCCCGGCGGCAAAGGTCACGGTCCAGGTGAGGTCAATGTCACGGTCCAGGCGAGGTCAATGTCACGGCTCAAGGTCACGATCTAGGTGAGGTCAGGGTCATGGTCCGAGTGAGGTCAAGGTCACGGTCCAGGCGACGCCAGGGTCGAAGTCCACGCGACGCCAGGGCCACGGTCCAGGTGAGGTCAAGGTCATGGTACAGGCGAGGTCAGGGTCCCAGAGCTCGGGTGGTGCACTGAGATCACGAGGAGGGACACGGGAGCCCACATGGGGGCCCACACGGGGGCCCACACGGGGGCCCACACGGGGGCCCACACGGGGGCCCACACGGGGGCCCACACGGGGGCCCACACGGGGGCCCACACGGGGGCCTACACGGCGACTCTCGCGGGTGTCACAGGTGACAATACATTCTCACTCAGTCACTCACCTACACACTCACCCACACACCCACTCATACACACTCACCCCACTCACCCACACAACAACAACCGCCATTCGCCACTAAGCGGCGGTGACATCACCACGACGCTTGTGCCAGGCTATGTGCACGTTGAGGCCACGTGAAGTGTCGAACGCCCGCTGGCAGGAGGTCACGGGGCAGACCCAGGTGCCACGGGTCGACTGACTGAGATGACTGGCTGATGCACCACCTGCGCCCCCCACTATACCAATTTGCTGTGCTTTAGCCACCCGGCGCTCCACTCGTTGTTGTGAGCATCGCTCCTCCCCCCTCCGTTGTTGTTGGAGGGCGACTGCCTCCAACTGCTCAATAGTGTCCTTCACGAGCCTCCTCCACAGAGGCCGATCTTGACACCGCTGGTACCAATCATCGGCAAGTCCACTCAGCTCCACGTCCTCCTGTACCACATCACTCCATCTCTTCTCTAGCCCATGCCGTGCCCGTTTAGCGCCCTTGATCCAGCCAAACAACAGCTGTTTAGGCATGCGGTGGCTGGGCATGCGGGCTACATGACCCAGTCAACGCAGCCTTGCCTGCCGGAGGAGCTCACCGATGGGACTTGGTCCAGATCTTTCAAGGGTTTGTGAGCTCCTCACACAATCCAGCCTGATTAAACCCAGGATGGATCGTAGGCAGGCCAGCCTAAATGTTTCTAACCGGCAAAGATGTTCCATAAGGGAGGTCCACGTTTCACAAGCGTAGAGAAGGGAGGGCATGACTGTGGCCGAGAAGACCTGAAGCTTCGTGTGGAGCGACAGACCAGGTAGCTTCCACACAGCGTTACACAACCGATAAAACGATAATGCCGCTCGACTAATTCGGAGTGAGACCTCTGCTGTCAAACCAGAGCCGGTCATGAACACACTACCCAGGTATGGGAAACTCTCCACTCTCTCCACAACTGCCCTATCACCGATTGGGAGTTTTGGGGGTGGAGTGTCCGATGGTACAAAATACCCAGGCAGATGCGTAGTTTTGGTGGGGCTGATGGTAAGGCCCCATCTCTTCGTGGCACGCTCCAGTCTCAGCAGCAGCGTCTCCAACTCCTCCTCTGAATGAGCAGCAACTACCAGATCATCAGCATACATAACATGGTTGAGCAATAGGGAGCCATCCCTTGACCGCACCCGGGCATCGATCAGCCTTCCATTGTATCTGTACCAGATGAAAATTCCTCCGGTACAGCTATTGAAGGCTTCACGAACTACGTACTCGAAATAGATGTTAAATAATGTGGGAGCCAGAGGACATCCGGGCCCGCTCACCATCACCCACATACCCACTCACTCAGCCACCCACTCACTCACCACACTCACCCACACACCCACTCACTCACCACACTCACCCACACACCCACTCACTCACCACACTCACCCACACACCCACACACTCACTCACCAACCCACCCACTCACTGTGGCGGGGAGGCCATCATCCAGCAGTGGATTAACCACGGCCAACGCCGTTGCCGCGTGCCCCATCCGCTCACAGAAGCCGGTGCCGTCGGAGGACGCTTCGTGTCCCGGCTGCCTCAAGACGGTGTACCTGGTGGACCGGCTGGTGATCGACGGGCGCACCTACCACCGTCGCTGTTTCCGCTGCTCCCACTGCTCCAGCCAGCTCAGGTGCCGTGCCGTGGGCGGCACGTGGTGGTGGAGGAGGAGGGGGGGAGGTGGTGGGGAGAAGGGGAGGAGGTGGGGAGGGGGGGGGAGGTGGTGGGGGGAGGTGGTGGTGGGGCGGTTGACTGCAGAGTGTAGGCCCTCGAAGGCCCAACGTGCCGAGCGGGCCGCCTACTGAGTGAGGGTGGGGGCGAGGTGACTGTCGCGCTGTGTGGCGTTGAGCGAGGTCGCTGTTGTGATGAGAGCTCCGTGTCTCTCTATCTCCATGTCTCCCTCTCGGTGTCTCCGTCCCCCTCCCCCGCCCCCCCCCCCCCGCGTCTCTGCCCCCGCAGCCTGGGTAACTACGCGTCGCTGCAGGGCCGCGTCTACTGCGAGCCGCACTTCGAGCAGCTCTTCAAGACCAAGGGCAACTACGAGGACGGCTTCGGCATCAAGGGGCACCGCGGCGCTCGCGGCTGGCAGGCCCCGGGCGGAGGGGCGGGAGGAGGTACGTCGCCCTCCGATCCCACGGGGCCACAGGCCGACAGCACCGCAGCGTTCGCCACCGCCGCCGCCGCCGCGCTGGCGCGGGCCCCAACGGCGCACGGCGGCCGCGACGACGACGGCGGCGGCGATGGCGACGACGAGGAGGAGGAGGTGTTCGTGTGCCCGTCGTCGCCGCCTCCCACGGGGAGCTCTCCCGGCGAGAGGCGCGCTGCCGCGGGAGAACCCGGCACGACCGCCGTCGCGGGGGGGGCGGCCGCCGCCGAGAGCGTGGGGAAGCTCAAGGTGCTGTGGCCGCCCCCGGACGGCGGCGGCGCGGCCAAGAGCGGCAGGTCGGCCGCCGTGGGCCCCGTCGCCGGCTCCGTCTCCTCGTCGCCCTTCGTCAAGGCGGTGAGCGAGGGATCTTCTTCGGAGGGGGGGTGCCCTCCCTCCTTCCCGGCCGGGGCCCACGCGCCCGCCTCGCAGCACGTGCAGGCGGCCAGGGCGCTCTACGAGAGGGCGAGGTCCCCCGCGCCGGGGCCGCCAGGCGCCGCCATCCGGCCGGCCATCGCCACCGGTGCAGAGCGGCGGTCGCCCGGCTCCGAGGTGAAGAGGGTTCGCTTCTCCGACGCGGACGTCGCGCTGGAGTCTCCCGACCGCGACGGCGACTCCGACGGCAACGGGGACTCCGACGATGATGGCGGCGGCGGCGGCCGCCTCGACGAACGCGAAGGTTCCTTGCGCTCGGAAACCAACGACGACGAAGAGGTCTTCCTCGCCGCGTCGGCAGAACTGGAGGAGAAGCCGGAGGAGGCTTGGGAAGACGGCGGCGCAGGAGATGTCTGGCGGAGCGAGGAGACCCTCGCCGGGCCCGCGCGCGGCCACGCGGCCGCGTGGCTGCCGTCGACCGAGCCGGCGTGGGAGGCCTCGGACGCCGCGGAGCCGACGGGTCCGACAGCGGCACCGAGGGGCGCGGGCAGGGACGGAGAGGAGCGCGACCGAGCGGCAGCGGCAGCGGCTGACGACGACGGCGATGCGGTCGCTCCAAAGCCGAGTCCCGGACACGCCGAGAACCGCAACGCGGAAAAGGAGCCCGCGGCGAGGGGCAAGCGCGGCCCCCTGGCTAAATTGCGGTCGCCGCTCGCCAAGCTGTTTGGCAGAGGCGGCAAAGAGAAGTCGGGCGGCAATGAGCAGGCAGAACAGAAGCCGGTTCCTCTGCCGGAACAGCATTCGGCTCGGAGCCGCTCGGCGGGAGAGGGAGACGGGAAGGAAGTAGGGAGCGACGCCGGGGGTGGCCGTGCGGATGCGGACATCGAGTTGACTGGTGCGGGGAGCAGCGATGGCGGTGGCGACGGTGGCAGTGGCGCTGTGCCGGCAGAGGCGAGCGCGCACGAGCCAGAGGACGCGGGCAGGAACGATGAGATCGGCACGGAAGGTCAAAGAGGGGTCCCGCGAGAGGTCGAGCTGCCTGGGCCCGGGCCAGCAGGGGCAGCCGAGACAGAACACGTGCAGGGCGCTGGGTCAAGTCTGTGGGGAGACCCTGGAGAGCCAGAAGACCGAGAAGAATCAAGATACCAAGAAGAACCAGGAGACCAAGAAGAACCAGGAGACCAAGAAGGACCAGAATACCCAGAAGAACCAAGATACCAAGAAGAACCAGGAGACCAAGAAGAACCAGGACACCAATTAGAACCAAGATACCAAGAAGAACCAGGACACCAATTAGAACCAAGATACCAAGAAGAACCAGAATACCCAGAAGAACCAAGATACCAAGAAGAACCAGGAGACCAATTAGAACCAGAATACCAAGAAGAACCAGAATACCCAGAAGAACCAAGATACCCAGAAGAACCAGGAGACCAATTAGAACCAGAATACCAAGAAGAACCAAAATACCCAGAAGAACCAAGATACCCAGAAGAACCAGGAGACCAATTAGAACCAGAATACCAAGAAGAACCAAAATACCCAGAAGAACCAGGATATCAAGAAGAACCAGGAGACCAATTAGAACCAAGATACCAAGAAGAACCAGAATACCCAGAAGAACGAGGAGACCGAGACGAAGCAGGAGAATCATGGAAGACGACCGCTTGCAGCGAGGAGTTTGCAGACGCCGCCGAGGGTCTGTCCTTCGCGTCAGACCCCTTCGACGGCGTCTCCCCGTTCGCCGCGGCCGGCTCGACGTTCGCCGCGGCCGAGTCCGGCGTGCCCGGGGAGCCGCTCGCGGCCGACGCGTCCCGCGGCTCGCAGCCGGCGGCGGCGGCGACGAACGGAGGGCCGCCCGGCGCGGCGGCGCCGGCATGGCTCGTGGACGGCGACCCCTTCGACCCCGACGCGAGCGGCTTCGGCCTCGACGGCGCCGGAACGTCCGACGCGAGCTTCCTCTCGGACGGCGTCCTCGAGTTTAGCCGTGGGTCCCCATCGGCGGTCGAACCGGGCCCCGCGGACGCGACGTTCGCGGGCCTCGCGGGCGCACGCATGAGCGGCCCCGACGACGCCGTCGATTTCTTGGACGCCGCTGACGGCCGCCGCGTCCTCGAGACGTCGTCCACGTTCGGCCTCGCGGTGTCCGGCCCGCAGAACCCCTTCTCCGAGGACCTTTTCGGAATGACCGATTGGTCGGTCAGCAGCGACGCCATCTTCGTGCAGAACACGTCGCCTCACGTGGCAGGCGGTGGTGGTGATGGTGGTCATATGTCACTCATCGATGATTTTTTCATGGGAGCGGCCGACGCTTCCATCGCCGGCGCTGGTGGCAACAGCTCTGCCGGCGACGCCTTCACCGATGACATATTCGGCATGGGACTCCCCGCCCCGGCCGCCGCCGTGGCCTCGCCGACCTCACCGACCCAGGCCAACGGGCAGCAGTGGAGCGACGACCTCCTGGGATGAATGCGGAGGAGGTTGAGCTGGGGGGGACGGGGGGGTTAGGGGGGTGGTGGCTCAGCAGCGCACGGGGTCGAAGCGCAGGACTCGGGGGGGGGGGGGGGGGGGATGGAACTCTTCCCAGAGCGAGCGGTGCCGCGGGGGCGAGACGCGCCGTGCCGCTCCGTGCCATGGAATGACGCGGGCTCAGGCGGCACAAACCTCGCCAGCACCGCCACCGTCCGCGCCGCCGTGTGGCACCAGGGAGACGCGGGGGTGGCGGGGGGGGGGGGGGGTAGGGGGTAGGATAGAGGTGTGGGGGGTTGTTTTGAGGGCAGGGTTCTGTGACCCGGCGACCCAGCTCACTGCTCCCCCCCCCCATGCCACCTCCGCTCGGAGGACCAACCACTGCCATTAACGACTGACGTGCTGCTGTAAAGGAGTGAGTGGGGTCATGACCGCCACAATGGATTTGGTGCCCCACAGGGCGAAATTTCCGATGAGGCCTCCCACCGCTGGCCTTTATAAAGCACCCCCCCCCCACCCCCACGGATCTGAGATGTGGTGGCAAACCGCCCCCCCCCCCCCTCCCCGCTGTCCGGCCTCTCGCTTTGCGGCAATGTGCGCATGCGCGTGTTTCAGATTGTAAATAGGTGCTCGCTAACAGCGCTTGCCCCAACAGTTCAGGCTGCACGGGGGATCTTCGTGCGGTCGTTTAGATGTTTCGCAGAGACGGAGGGTTGCCAACTCCGTGGCTTGAAAATTCCGGGACGCATCGCGGGGAAAAAAATTTGGGCAAATCATTCACCTTGTGACCTAAGCCAGAATCGTTTTGTTCCCTCTCAATTATGGATCATGCTTTCATTTTTATCGTCACGCAAATGACAAATGCCGGGCAGGGAAAACTTTCAACGTCTCCCGGGAAGACTTAGGGAGATATGTCTCTGGGACCGGAGTTGTCACCTCCTCGAGCGAGAGGACGGTCCTGGGGGGAATATCAGGACGGGTGGCAACCCTACTCAGATACTCGGGTGCTGGCAGGGCGACCTCACAGCTAAGCCCCCTCTGGCCTAGGCGTGAGATTTTATTGAGCGACCGCTTCTCTCGTTCAGCTGCCATCGTCGCGATGCTTCGGCCCCGGTAATGGCTCGAGCTGCCTGCAACTGGCTGCCCAAACCTTCAACGCCGGTCCGTCGACCCAGCGCCGAGCCACCCCGGCGTGCCGCCTTCATTGACCAAACCAAAACAAAGTTCAACGTGAACTCTGCTCTTTTGAATATTATTTTTTTGTTACGTATATATATTTTTCAAAATGTTGTTTGAATCTTTTTTTCTGGGTCGCTGGTAGACTGCAGTAGGTGACACGTTGATCGCAGTTTGCCAACAGGCCGTATCGAGAGAAAGCTTATACAGGATGTGGTGTGCCGGGGTGCGGGAATATTACCCACGGGGGAGGGGGTGGTGAGAGGGGGGTGGGGTCGCTGACCCCGGGTTGAATTTAAAACCTTTGGTTGATGATGTGACACATACACGTGTGTGGAGGATGATGCGGTAGGGCGGTGCGGGGGGAGGGAGGGGGGATAGGGTCAAGCTACTTGTCAGTCGGGAATGAAAACATCGCAGGAAAGGATGGAGATGGGAGAGGGGGGAAAGCGGACGTTGTGAGAGGTGACATTATTATTATTATTAGGTGACATTATTCAGCTCTTGTGACATTATTACATTATTAGGTGACATTATTATTACATTATTAGGTGACATTATTATTACATTATTAGGTGACAATATTCAACTCCTGTGACATTATTATTACATTATTAGGTGACATTATACAGCTCCTGTGACAGTATTATTAATACATTAAGTGACATTATTCAGCTCCTGTGACATTATTATTACATTATTAGGTGACATTATACAACTCCTGTGACATTATTACTACATTATTAGGTGACATTATTCAGCTCCTGTGACATTATTATTACATTATTAGGTGACATTATTATTACATTATTAGGTGACATTTAAATCCTGTTACATTATTATTACATTATTAGGTGACATTATACAGCTCCTGTGACATTATTATTACATTATTAGGTGACATTATTATTACATTATTAGGTGACATTATTTAACTCCTTTAACATTATTATTACATTATTAGGTGACATTATACAGCTCCTGTGACACTATTATTACTACATTATTAGGTGACATATTCAGCTCCTGTGACAGTATTATTATTACATTATTAGGTGACATTATACAACTCCTGTGAGACTATTATTATTACATTAGGTGACATTATACAGCTCCTGTGACATTATTATTATATTATTAGGTGACATTATACAACTCCTGTGACATTATTACTACATTATTAGGTGACATTATTCAGCTCCTGTGACATTATTATTACATTATTAGGTGACATTATTATTACATTATTAGGTGACATTTAAATCCTGTTACATTATTATTACATTATTAGGTGACATTATACAGCTCCTGTGACATTATTATTACATTATTAGGTGACATTATTATTACATTATTAGGTGACATTATTTAACTCCTTTAACATTATTATTACATTATTAGGTGACATTATACAGCTCCTGTGACACTATCATTACTACATTATTAGGTGACATATTCAGCTCCTGTGACAGTATTATTATTACATTATTAGGTGACATTATACAACTCCTGTGAGACTATTATTATTACATTAGGTGACATTATTCAGCTCCTGTGACATTATTATTACATTATTAGGTGACATTATACAGCTCCTGTGACACTATTATTACTACATTATTAGGTCACATTCATTACATTATTAGGTGACATTATGACTACATTATTAGGTAACATTATTATTACATTATTAGGTGACATTATACATCTCCTGTGACATTACCATTATATTATTAGGTGACATTATTATATTATTAGGTGACATTATATTATTAGGTGACATTATACATCTCCTGTGACATTATTATTACATTATTAGGTGACATTATATAGCTCCTGTGACATTATTAATACATTATTAGGTGATATTATTCAGCTCCTGTGACACTTATTATATTAGGTGACATACAGCTCCTGTGACATTATCATTACATTACTAGGTGACATTATTATTACATTATTAGGTAACATTATTACATTATTAGGTGACATTATACAGCTCCTGTGACATTATTATTATTACATTATTAGGTGACACTATTTTTACATTATTAGGTGACATTATGATTACATTATTAGGTAACATTATTACATTATTAGGTGACATTATTATTACATTATTAGGTGACATTATACATATCCTGTGACATTATTATTACATTATTAGGTGACATTATTATTACATTATTAGGTGACATTATTATTACATTATTAGGTGACATTATTACTATATTATTAGGTGACATTATACATATCCTGTGACATTATTACTACATTAGTAGGTGACATTATTATTACATTATTAGGTGACAATATACAGCTCCTGTGACACTATTATTACTACATTATGAGATGACATTATACAGCTCCTGGGACATTATTATTATTACATTATTAGGTGACAGTATTAAATTATTAGGTGACATTATTATTACATTATTAGGTAACATTATTATTACATTAGGTGACATTATTATTACATTATTAGGTAACATTATTATTACATTATTAGGTGACATTATTATTACATTATTAGGTGACATTATACAGCTCCTGTGACATTATTACATTATTAGGTGACATTATTATTACATTATTAGGTGACATTATTTAACTCCTTTAACATTATTATTATTACATTATTAGGTGACATTATACAGCTCCTGTGACACTATCATTACTACATTATTAGGTGACATATTCAGCTCCTGTGACAGTATTATTATTACATTATTAGGTGACATTATACAACTCCTGTGAGACTATTATTATTACATTAGGTGACATTATTCAGCTCCTGTGACATTATTATTACATTATTAGGTGACATTATACAGCTCCTGTGACACTATTATTACTACATTATTAGGTCACATTCATTACATTATTAGGTGACATTATGACTACATTATTAGGTAACATTATTATTACATTATTAGGTGACATTATACATCTCCTGTGACATTACCATTATATCATTAGGTGACATTATTATCTTATTAGGTGACATTATATTATTAGGTGACATTATACAGCTCCTGTGACATTATTATTACATTATTAGGTGACATTATATAGCTCCTGTGACATTATTATTACATTATTAGGTGATATTATTCAGCTCCTGTGACACTTATTATATTAGGTGACATACAACTCCTGTGACATTATCATTACATTATTAGGTGACATTATTATTACATTATTAGGTAACATTATTACATTATTAGGTGACATTATACAGCTCCTGTGACATTATTATTATTACATTATTAGGTGACACTATTTTTACATTATTAGGTGACATTATGATTACATTATTAGGTAACATTATTACATTATTAGGTGACATTATTATTACATTATTAGGTGACATTATACATATCCTGTGACATTATTATTACATTATTAGGTGACATTATTATTACATTATTAGGTGACATTATTATTACATTATTAGGTGACATTATTACTATATTATTAGGTGACATTATACATATCCTGTGACATTATTACTACATTAGTAGGTGACATTATTATTACATTATTAGGTGACAATATACAGCTCCTGTGACACTATTATTACTACATTATGAGATGACATTATACAGCTCCTGGGACATTATTATTATTACATTATTAGGTGACAGTATTAAATTATTAGGTGACATTATTATTACATTATTAGGTAACATTATTATTACATTAGGTGACATTATTATTACATTATTAGGTAACATTATTATTACATTATTAGGTGACATTATTATTACATTATTAGGTGACATTATACAACTCCTGGGACATTATTATTACATTATTAG